CGCTGTCACCCCCCGCCCCGATCTGTTTCTCTCTAATCCCCCCCAACCCGCGATCTGCCCCCCCAACCCCGCCCTCCATCACTGCCCAGCCCTCCCGGGGCTGGGACCCCGGAGGAGGGGTGGCGGGGGTAATGCTCCTCGGGGAGCCCCCCGAGGGCTGCTCAGGCCAGAGGGGGATTGGGAGGTGGGGGTGGAACTGTACACAGAGATTTTCGGGGGTATTATTTCGCTCCCGCCAGTCCTTCCCCACCTCCTACCAAGTGCATTTTGCAAAATCCTTGAAGCGGCTCTGGTCCTATTGTTTGATTTAGATTAAAATATTCACCATCACCGCACGCCCCCACAGGTGCACCGGCAGGATCCGAACCCTCCCGGCTCCCTGCCCGATCCTTCCTACCCTTCTCCAGCTCTGTTCGGTGGTGCCCCCTCCTCGCCCCCCGCAGTTTTTCATCGCTGCTTCCTTGCAGTGGGGGGGGGATCGGTATCATGTCCCCTCCTTGCTTCCCCCCCAAGGGAGGTCACAGGATAGACCCATGCTGTTCCTTTTCCTCGTCTCCTCAGACCTTGGGGTCTCTTCCTGCCCCTTTCCCAGCCCCCACAATTCCGGGGGACCAAGGTCAAAAACGTGTGGGGGCTTGAGAGGAGGTACAGACTTGTTCGGTGGATTCCTTTCCTGAAGGAAATGGCACAGGCTGGGAGTGCTGCAGAGGGACAGGGGATCCAAAAAAGAGCCCTGTTTGGGAGGGCAACGAAGGAGTGGGATGAGGTGGACAGTGCAGCACCCCCACCATGTCCTGCAGATTTTAAGGCCCCTCTCGTGGTGCAGGGGTGTGTTCAGCTGCCAGCCCTGCTCTCTTGGGGTGAGGAATCAGGACACGGCTAGGAGCTTGTTTTTGGAAGATGCTGGAAGCTAGAAGGGGGATGTCTCTCTGAGATGCCTTGGCACGGGCGGGTGGGTGGCCGGTTGCCGCAGGTCAGCACTGACGTGCCTTGGCAAGGCCACCCGGAGAGATCAGGGTGGGATGCAGCAGGATATGCCGCAGGTTGAGCTGCCTTGGAAAAGCCATGCAGAGAGCAGGGTTGGGGGGGACCATCACCCAGCTGCCTGGGGGAACCAAACCTTGCCCAGCCACCACTGTCACTCCATTTTCCTGCCTGCTGCGTTCTGGGGCAGCACAAGGGGCTGCAAGAAACACTGTCCCTGCCAGACCACGCAGCCCTTCCCCCAGCTCCCCAGGGCTCCCGTCTGCCCAGCCGTGCATGTGGCTTCACTGCGCCCTTCTTGCTCCAAGCGGGAGCAGTTACAGTTTGTGGTGCCCAGGAGGGCAACCGTGGTGGGAGGGGGGTCTCTTGGTGGGAAGGAGAGCAGCCCTGGCCCCGCAGCTGGGGAGTCACTCCGGGGTTGCTTCTGCAGGGTCAGGTGCTGGGGGGGTTTGGTCTTTGAAGCCGCAATGCTCTGTGCAGCAGGATGCTGCTTCTTCCTCTCCAAACCTTGGTTCCCCCCTCGGGAGGAAAGCCCATGCCCTGGAGGGGATGGTGGTTGTCTTGGAGAGTTTATCAGGGCTGGTGGACACTCCGCCTGCCCTTGGATGCTGGGATGCAAGACGTGAAACATGCCCAACTCCTTTCAGAGGCAGAGTGAAAAGCTAGGGGCATGAGCTGGAGAAAGGAAGTTCTTATTATGGAAAAAAATCTTTGCTGTGAGGGTGATAAACACTGTCACAGGGACCAGACTGGGGCAGGAATTGCCATCCTGGAAATCGTCCTGATCTCTAGCTCTGAGCAGAGGTGGGTCAGGGACCTCCAGAGATCCTGATGGAACAAAACCCTGGTGTGATTCAGAAAGTCCCAATCTGTAGCAACCCACGCTGAGCAGAGGTGAGGAGGTCACCAAGGCAAGGGAGATCACTGCCCAAGAGCCCAGGGTCTGAGGGTGCAGGTCTCATGTTTGTCAGGAGCCATTTCTCTGCACAGACCCCATGCACAGAGGTGAATGGAGCAATGAGGGATGCTGGGACTCCATTCCCACTGGAAGTCCTTGTCTATGTGCTCTGGCCTGCAGGGTACTGGAATTGCTCAGCACCCTCCTCTTCCCCAGCAGCAGTGCAGGGAGACCTTTTGCATCAGACAGGATGTGTTCATGAAGTCCTGTGTGCTTTGTAGGTGAGAAGATGTAGCCGAGGTGACCAACTCAAGGGTCACTACTGATAGAGGACACTGGATTTTTTTGGAACAACTCCCCCAGTCCCTCTGCCTGGGACAGATGGCAGCTGAGATACAGGCTCAGCTCCAAGTGGACCCTCTGTAGCCATCACCTACTTTTGAGCATTTTCAGGACATGGGGCCCATTTGTGCTCAGCTTCTGGGGGAGGTAGTTCTGGCTCCCTGTAAGACACAGACTTCACTGGCAGCTCAGCAAGCCAATGTGTCACCTCCTGCTCCAGAGGAGGGGAATTTCTTGCAGGCCCAACCTGCAAAGGGAGCTGCTCTAATGGCTGGTGTCTTGTTGATCTTGAAATAAGAGACCAGGGACCCAAAGCAAAAGAAGGATATGCCCCCATTATCCTGAGAGTTGGGACTCATATTGCCCTGGGCATCCTCTGAGCGGGTCTCCCTAAAATGTCCTAAGGGAATGTCCCTTCTCTGCTGAGAAGGACTGAGAAGGAAGGGGAGATCAGTGAGCAGAAAAGTAAAGGTGAGCAAGAGTGAAATGATTGCAAGGGGGAAGAGCAGAGGCTCTGGGAGAGAGGAGGTGACACCTCTCTTCTGTCAGGCACCAGCGTGACTGATCTTGGAATATTACACACAGTACCTGTGCCTGAAGTTTTGAAAGAAGATTAAAAAACTGATTCAAGGCTTGGAAAAACACCATCCAGGGAGAAGCATAAGTGAAACTGCCTGAATTCTGTGCAAAAATAAGCCAGAGAAGGTTTGATGGTAAAGCCAGGCAGGTGTCACAAGGAGGAAGGCTGGGGACAACAGAGCAGTCTTAGGACTGTAGAGACATGGCTTGAGCCTGGCATCTTCATGTATTGGGCAGTGAGAGAGAATTCAGCTGCCAGGACTGTTGATGGTGGCCATATTTTTTGGTGTCTGCAGAACTGTGTGGAAAAAAAGATTCCCAAATTCCCCAGTATATCCCGATAAAATGGGAAGACTGGCCCCGGGGAGAGGGGTTCTGGTTGACCTCACCTCCTCCAGCAGAGAAACCTCTGCAGCTCTCCTCTCTGTGTGGGTGATTCTACAAGAAATTTGGCCTGCTCTTTCCTGAGAAGAAGGTCCTGTAGCCACAAGGGAGTACCTTGTCAGCTCCCAAAGTAAGGGGTTACAACCCTGACACAGCCCAAACATAACCCTTACAGCTTCCCTTGGCAGAACTCATGATCCTGT